AACGATTCACCACTAATTCAGTCCTCACTGTGTCAGTATTAAACTCGACCACTTGGTGTCGCTGTGTACTACAGCACACTGATGGTCAGTCCGAAAATAAAAATCATATGAATCCTGAGAATAAAGCTTAAAAATAACAGTAGAAGTGTCCCAGACGTAAAGGCGAAAGAGTTGTCTGGAATTATGTTAGAGATGATATTAAAAAAAGTTATGTATCACCTTTCCTCATTTTTAGGCAGTCTGTTTGTTTTATACTGATGTTACACTAATATATAAATGCATGTGGAACACACCACCGATGTTTTTGTTCGTTTGGACAGTTCCAGTGTAGATAGAAGATAAATGAAAAAGAATAGTATAAACGTAACAGAAACAGTGTCTTGGCAAACGTCCAGCCAAAACAGCTAGATTTTCTCAAGAAGTTGCAACAGAGGTTGACATTTAATACTTCTAGTGCTTCTATGGTACATCACAGACCTTGCAAGAACACACATGTTTGATTTTAAAATAATGTAATGAGAAATTCCAATATATAAATCACATCCAACAATTCAACTCAGAATTAGTCATGAGAAATTCCCAGAATGTTCAGGAAGTCTTTATAAGGACTAGTGGGCGGATACTTGTCAAGCACATAAAACAACTTTCACTAGAGGCTGCTTCAAGCACTCATGTTCCGCTTGTTCACAACTGTCCTGAACACAATGCTTCTACAGAGTTTATGGGATTTTATACAGGGCTATCATGAGTGGCTTAGATCACCTTTTTTCCCTGTCCTTTTCTCCCTAAGCGTATATCTTATATGCTGTATGCCTTTCTTGGTACTGGATATTCTCTCACCCAGGCTGGCCTGGATCAGGAGCTTTAAGATTCAGCAGAAGAGCCACGTGTCCTGGACTCTGATGTGGAACTGCCTGGCACACTCCTTGTACATCCATGTTATGTACATATTTCCCGTTACTGTGTTGCATTGGTATTGGAGACCAGCAAGCTTCACAGCCGAGGCCCCGGAGATGCTACGCTTCATCTGGGACATCGTTTCCTGCCTCCTGCTCTTTGACTTCCAGTACTTCATCTGGCACCTGCTGCATCATAAAGTGCCGTGGTTATACCGGACCTTCCACAAGGTGCATCACAAGCACACGTCCACCTTCGCCCTGACCACTGAATACTCAGGGGCCTGGGAGACACTGTCCCTGGGTTTCTTCGCTGCGGTCAACCCCGTTCTGCTGGGCTGCCACCCTCTGACTGAGATGTGCTTCTTTGTGTTGAATATCTGGCTCTCTGTGGAGGACCACTGCGGCTATGACCTACCCTGGTCCACTCATAGGCTGATGCCTTTTGGGCTGTACGGGGGAGCTCCACACCACGACCTGCACCACCTGAAGTTCAAGTCCAACTATGCTCCATACTTCACACACTGGGACCGGCTGTTTGGAACCTTGCACAAGAACTCAGACTGAGGTTGAAGAACACCGAACAATGCAAACGGACTTATCGAGCTTCTTTCATGTTAAAAGATACAATCAGAAAATTAACTGTTTGTGGTGCCCTCTCAACCAGCGAGTTCCCCAATGTTGTTTTCAAATTGTACTTTCTTTGTGCATTTTAGCATAGTGACTTTTTTGTCCGCTTTTTGTTGAGGAAGAAACTGTTAATGGGTTTTGGTTTGTATTGTATGTATTGTATGTTATTGTATTTCAATGTATTGTTTTAGATAAATAAGCTATTTGTATTTATGTATTTATTTAAATATGTTATTTATTTTATTTCAATACAGCTATTGCCTATTACCTATGAGTCCTGTGTATGTAATTTAGTTGGTAGAACATGACTCTTGCCATGCCAGGGTTGTTTGTTCTCTTACTTAACTATGGGCCAGTATTGATAAAAATGTATGAAAAAGTATGCCCTCACTTTTGTTAGTATGTCAATGTTATATTTGTAGAGAACATAAACAGTTATTAATTTATTATCATTGCACTGAACCACCTTGATCTGTATTTATATTTAAATCTATATTTCTTACAATATATTTTTTATATTTCTTACTGTCCTTTCTGTTTTTCTTTTTCTTAGATGTCAAGTGAGTGTTGTACTTTGAGAGAAAAGTTTTACCGGAATCAAATTCCTTTGAATTTGTTTGTTTGGATTTACTGATTGTTGTAATTTATTTTGTGTTAACAAAAAAATCGTCATTACATTTTGAATGATTACAAATTGACTGATCATAATTTATTCAATCGGATTGAATGACTGAAGACTATTTTAAATATTTGTATTGAATGCTCAGTATTTATGGATGAAAATACATTGAAACAAAAAGCTGAAGTTTTAAGCTGAATCAGTATTAAATAAATTATTAAGAAAAAAGTATTTGTGTGTCGCACTTTCATAAACTCAGCTGATATGTTGTTTACAATGGCTTCAGACAGTCATTTGATCTCTTACGTTTCTTTCTTTTGACCTGTTCCAGTTCTAATTTATAATGGATGACATTTACACAGGGTTGTGTGTGGTAAAGTTGGACACTTTTTGGTAAAATACACAATTCGGGTCATTTTATCTTATTAATGTCTTAGCTAAATGCTCATGGTGAAATTAAGTGATTCTTTATTTTTTCATGACTGCTACATCCATTCAAAGTGGGACACATCGGTTGGTAAAGTGGGACACATCGGTTGGTAAAGTGGGACACATCGGTTGGTAAAGTGGGACACATCGGTTGGTAAATTTAAAGTGAATCTGATTAATCACAAATAAAGGTCAGCTATGCCAGTAGACTTTTTCTGAGATCTTCTTCGTTGCATCATAGAGCAAAAGCCATGGTCTGTTAAAATGCCAGAGTTGTTAAAATGCCAGGTTTTCTCATCTCATCTCATCTTCAACCGCTTATCCGGGGTCGGGTGACGGGGGTAGCAGCTCTAGCAGGGGACCCCAAACTTCCCTTTCCCGGGCAACATTAGCCAGCTCTGACTGGGGAATCCCGAGGCGTTCCCAGGCCAGTGTGGAGATATAATCTCTCCACCTAGTCCTGGGTCTTACCCGAGGTTTCCTCCCAGCTGGACGTGCCTGGAACACCTCTCTAGGGAGGCGCCCAGGTGGCATTCGTACTAGATGGCCGAATCACCTCAACTGGCTCCTTTCTACCCAAAGGAGCAGCGGCTCTACTCCGAGTTCCTCTCGGATGACTGAGCTTCTCACCCTATCCCTAAGGGAGAGGCCAGCCACCTTTCTGAGAAAACCCATTTCGGCCGCTTGTACCCGCAATCTCGTTCTTTCGGTCATGACCCAGCTTTCATGACCATAGGTGAGAGTAGGAACAAAGATTGACCGGTAGATCGAGAGCTTTGCCTTCCGGCTCAGCTCTCTTTTCGTCACAACGGTGCGGTGAAGCGAATGCAACACCGCCCCCGCTGCTCCGATCCTCCGACCAATCTCCCGCTCCATTGTCCCCTCACTCGCGAACAAGACCCCGAGGTACTTAAACTCCTTCACTTGGGGTAAGGACTCATTCCCTACACGGAGTAGGCACTCCACCAGTTACCTGCTGAGAGTCATGGCCTCAGATTTAGAGCCAGGTTTTTGGGATGTGAAAATTTTTGACATAATACAAATAAGAGAAATCATGTCAGAACTTTTTACACCTTTAATGTGACGTTTTACGTGAAAAAAAAAAAACATACAGTAACCTGGTTTCATGGTCTGTATCTTCGTTTGTCTAATTTTTTCACATCACAAAAACCTGTCATTTTAACTGGTGTACCTGTTTTATATGCACTGTAAGTACTTGTGTAATTGATTTTTTTATTTCCGATGAATAGTTATTTTTGAAGTAGTTTTTGTAATAAGGTAATGTAATTAGATAAAGGCCAGACACATGTGGAGAAAGTGAAGGAACCTATCAAAAACCCTGTCCCTCAGGCTACGCATCCGTCTAACCCATGTGGTAACCAGCTTTCTATTTTCCACCGCTCATCCCTCATGAAACTCTAAAAAATATTATTTATAACTTATTTTGTTAGTTTTCTATTCTATAATTTTAACTGTTTGTTTTATTCCTTTTTTTTAATATTTTTCTTTGTAAAGCACATTCGATTGGTCTGTGTGTGGAAAACAGAATATTCCCGGGAACTTGTTTGATAGTGTATTTTCTTACTTCTTTGGGACAATGGTATGATGTTTTGCCAACTTTCCCCGGGAATGATGACACAGATGTTTCCTGACATGTTCTGATTTCAGGGAATCCAGATTAAAGTTATTTCATGAGGATATGCCATAGTCAGTGCAGACTCACTCCAACATGGAGCCTAAATAAATATTAAAATAACTAAATAAGATAGTCAACGCCTTTTCTTTAGAAAGTGAAAAAAATACTTCCTGATACGAGAATGGATTTTCCAGAGGAAATTAATGAATTACCAGAAGTGAAACTAAACACATTCATAGACTAATCACCACCAGGCACTGAGAAGTTAGAGAGTCATGCATTAAACTATATGACATCATTATTATTTTGTATTTCATTTTGTTGTAGAGGTTATGGTACTATGTACAACTGTTTTTGCAAGATACTTGTGACCCAAATATGTAGCAAACTGTTCACTAAGACGTGATTTCATGAAAATCATTCTGAAAATAAGTCTTATGTAGTAAGTGACAGACAGTACTTGCGCGATAATAGTAAAAGATGCCTAAATGAAAAGTGAACAGATAAAACAGATTGTTAAATTGCAGATCGGCCGCCAGACCTGAAATAGGTCTTGTCCTGTTGTAATCTCAGGAAAAACTATTAAAACAACATTTAAATTGATGTTCCACTAAACAATTCACTATCGATGTCAGTCTGAAAAATGTGTAGGTGAAAACCAAGTAATTATTCTGACTGATAAAACCTCTGAGGTCACAAACACAAAGTGTGAATGTCACCTTTAAATGTTTATATTTTTTAATCCAGGTAGGCCGGTTGAGAACATATTCTCATTTGCAGTGGCGACCTGGGGAGAAGCTGGGGATTGAACCCAGGACGTCATACATACAAATCATGCACTCTACCACTGGGACAACAACTCCTGAAACTTAATTAGAAGTAATCTAAATCTTTGAGCATATATGAATTCTGGAATAAAGAATATGTAGTTAAATCACTGTGAAAAATATGCCAAATGAGGAAAATGATAAAACCCTCATTGCATCTGTATCAATCCCAATCCCATGTCTGAGCTGGGCTGCTTTCCAGCTTTCACTTCTTGTTTTCTCGTGCCATTCTAAATGGAAATGAGTCATCCCCAGACACTTTGCACTCTTAAGCAATAACCGGACACAGTTTGGTATCATTGCAACTTCACATCATGCAATGTCCTCGAGAAATGGGAACTTCCGTAAACGTTGTGACATTCGAAAAGTTGTCTGATAAAAATAGAAAAAAGCATTACAACGCAATGTGTCAAACACCAGGTTCGCGCACGATATGGCAGGTAACATATTAACAGTATATCCGTCTAATTATATTTGTTTTGTCTCACTTCCACACTGCCCCAACACTTTCCACACAATACCATGGGATCCTGTGACCAAACATGCTGGAGCCAGTCATTGTCTGTGTAATACAAATCTATTCTTTCAGCAGCCAAACTATTTACCTGAAGGGCCATTTCACCATAGCACTCCTACTCAATTCATGAATTATGGTTGGCACACGCATCAGGGCAGGGGCATGGCAGTCACAGCCTCACAGGCTTCATTTCCAGCCGACACAGCTAGAATGTTGCCTGAAACTCGCGCTGCAGTTATTCTTATGTCTAAAAACGAGTGACAGTGGGACGCGGGCTGCTGTCCCTTGGAGCAGGAACACGTCCACGACATGGTCTCCCGCTCTCCCAAGCCTGCTCGGGGCTAAGCCGCCTCACTATTCCCAGGGGTTAGAGTTAACTTATTCTGGGTACTTGACCGTTTCCGAATAAACTCATGCTCATATACCCCAATTGCCTCCGTTGTTAGTTAGTTGCTGGTTTAAAGAAATCTTAACAATGGATTAAACCAGTGCTTTATATTGGGCCATAGACTACTTCCAGGCTAAGCAACCAGCTTAAGTCAAGAGGTGAAATCGTTTTTTTACTCAAATCTATAAAAATGTATCTGTTCAAACGATGGATGTTGCCCCATTCGGATTGTGCTTTTAAAGATGTGTTTACATCGTCTTTTGCAGTGAATCACTTTACAAGGTTAATACTTCCTACTGTAACCCATGTTTCTGTTGCAATGTACAGTGCAACCGCAAACTATCAACAGCGCTTCACTTCACTTCACTTTCTACATTTTGTTATATTACAGCCTTTTTCCAGAATGGATTCAATGAATTTTCCACCTCAGAATTCTACACACAATACTCCATAATGACAAAGTGAAAAGAGTTTGTTTAATATTTTTAACAGATTTGCGGAAAATTAAGAACAAAGTATTTACAGCCTTTGCTTGATACTTTGTCCTGTCGGCAGATGAACTTTTGCCCCAGTCTGAGGTCCAGAGCGCTCTGGAGCTGGTTGTCATCAAGGACGTCTCTGTACATTGCTCCATTCATCTTTCCCTCAATCCTGACTAGTCTCCCAGTTCCGGCCGCTGAAAAACATCCCCACAGCAAGATGGTGCCACCACCATGCTTCACCGTAGGGATGGTATTGGCTAGGTGATGAGCAATGCCTGGTTTCCTCCAGACATGACGCTTGGCATTCAGGACAAAGTGTTAAGCATTTGTTTCATCAGACTAGAACATCTTGTTTTTCATGGTCTGAGAATCCTTCAGGGGGCATTTGGCAAACTCTTGGTAGGCTGTTATGTGACTTTTACTAAAAAATGGCTTCCGTCTGGCCATTCTACCATACATGCCTGATTGGTGGACTGCTGCAGAGATGGCTGTCCTACTGGAAAGTTTTCCTCTGTTCGCAGAGCAATGCTGGAGCTCTGTCAGAGTGACCATCGAGTTCTTGGACACCTACCTGACTAGGCCCTTCTCCCCTGATCGCTCAGTTTGTGTGGCCAATTTGACTTGACTTTGACTTTTGACAACTCTAGGATGGTGGTGGTTCCAAAATTCCTCCATTTACAGATGATGGAGGCCACTGTGTTCATTGGGACCTTCAATGCTGCAGGATTTTTTTGTACCCTTTCCCAGATCTGTGCTTCAATACAATCCATGTCTCAGATGTCTTTAGACAATTCCTTGGACTTCATAGCTTGGTATGTGCTCTGACATGCACTGTCAACTGTGAGACCTCATATAGGTCTCACAGTTGACAGATGTGTGTGCCTTTCCAAATCATGTCCAATCAACTGCATTTACCACAGATGGACTCCAATCAAGTTGTAGCAACTTCTCAAGGATTATCAGTGGAAACTGTATGTTTTGAGTGTCATGCCAACGATCGTGAATACTTATGTGATTTTTTCCTTTTTAATTTTTAATAGATTTTTTAAGATGAAAAAAAACTTTTCACGTTAGCGTTATGGGGAAATGTGAGTAGAATTTTGAGGGGAAAAGATATATAAACAATTTTGCAACAAGGCTGTAACATAACAAAATGTGGAAAAAATATGCAGAAATAAAACAACACTATTTATGTTGTCTATATAGACAACATATGTTGTGTTTTAATTGGTGATGTGTGGGGAAACGCGTGTTTCTGTTTAATGCTTTGTGGGACATATTAAAACCAATGTAACAGTATCCGATATCTGCCGCAGAGGTGCATGGTACTTTTTTATATATATTTATAAAAATGTGATTGTTGGAGCCTAAATAGAAACTCAATACTTAAACCCACTACCGATAGAAGTCGGGATATTGTATGTTGGGCAATCTTGGAAAGTATAGATTTATTTTCTATCTTTTTTTGTACTACATGGGGATTTTCCCGGAAATGGGCGGTTCAGAGTGACGTGACTCCAACTAGGATGTGTAGGATGTTCTTTCTTTTTAGAGAAAGTCATGCACCCATTCGCATGTATTTCCATTCCCATGTAAAACACAGATAGATATGGGGCTAGAAAAAACATATTCAAATCTTAGTTATAGATCCATTTGATTTCCTTACATGCTTAAACTAAACTATATACTCTGGAATGGGTTAATATCCCACAATGTAGAACACTATGTTGTTGAAATTATAATGTTTTAATTAGGGAAATGTAAATGATAAAATGACTGTGGTATTGATAAGACAAGTAATTTTAAAAGCAATGCTTGATCAGTCGATTATGGAACAGTTGTAATGTCAGCTTTTACATTTCCGGTTCCATATTAACCTTCAAATGTACTGTGAATTAAACGATTATTTCGTCATATTACACTGGAATTTTAAAATGCAGCCAAGAGGAAAGCAAACAAAAGTTATTGAACCGCGCCACCTGCTGGCTGCACAGGCACTATTTCGTTCAAATGCTTGATAAAAACTGAGCCTTTACGGGGCATCTACATACCTTCTGGTCAATATCAACTACTGTAAATATCCAGGCATTCAAACACTTGAAAGTTTCCCTTTTGTAACTTTTACGTTCTGCCTTAAAGTATACAATAAAATACAGTGGGGAGGATTGGAAGTTTTGTCACATATCTCGTTAAACCAAGTGGATGGAAATAGAAAGCCAACAGCACCACCTACTGTTGGCACAGCGAACACCATGCACATGTTGCTCAGCTCTTGAATTATCAGATGCACAGTGGTTGGTCACTGTGGTTGACCTCTGCCGGTCACTGGGTCAGCTCTCACCGCATTAGGTTTTGGAGCAATTTCAATTTCTGTCAAATTTCAATATTAAACCAAATTACTCAAACGTTTCCTTGTTGAAAGGCAGAGAAGAGCTTCAGGCAAAACGTAAATATACCAAACCTCCTGTTATACATACCATGCAGAAATGGACTGACAAGGCCATTAGAGAGCTAGAGGACGACCTTGACATCACAAATTGGGACGTATTTAATGAAGCCAGAAAGCACTGAGATTATTACTCCCTACATTCATGTAGAACTTGAGGTAATTAAATCCATGGCTTCACAAAGCAACAAAAAGTCATGTTTCACTGGCCTATCCACCTGGTCAAAGATGTGTACCTTAAGACCCCTTACAGATCCTCTCCCCATCCCAGGTTTGGCCTTGTTTTGTCTGCTTATGACATCCTAGGTTTGGCCTGGTTTTGTCTGCTTATGACATCCTAGGTTTGGCCTGGTTTTGTCTGATTCTGCCATCACAGGTTTGGCCTTGTTTTGTCTGCTTATGACATCACAGGTTTGGCCTGGTTTTGTCTGCTTATGACATCCTAGGTTTGGCCTGGTTTTGTCTGCTTATGACATCACAGGTTTGGCCTGGTTTAGCCTGATTCTGCCATCACAGGTTTGGTCTCTTGCTTCTGCCATCTGCATATGTAACATATACAGTCCATGCATTGGACGACCTCACTTCCCCTCATTTCTTCAGTGTATTAAGGTTAGGCGAACTCAGAATGTCATATGCTTTCTCTTTATTGAATATCCTGCAGCTGTAGGTGAGTTATGGGCTTGCTTGGTCACTTGTTGTCTGCACCTGTGAGACCGGTTAGACGTGCTGTCAAATTCCCGAAAACATTTTCAAACAGCTCATGCTAGAGAAATCATTATTATTTCTCTGGCAACACCCCTGGTAGATATAGAAGTCAGTATGTCAATTGCATGGGTCATTAAAATCAGAGCCATTTGTGGTATAGTGTAAATACAAATTATAGACTGACCTTATTATAAGAAACAAAATCAGAAAAGTCTTTAATCGCCATGAATGTGTGAACAGACAAGGAACTTTGGCAGGAAGGTGCTTACTTACAACATATAAAGAACAATATAAATGATACAAAGGGGGTGAAGGGGTATATGGATAGTAATATATAAAATGCTATACAAAATACAGATAAGACACATTATCCTCAATACAATGGACACCTGGTTTATGACTGTTCATGAACACTGGTTTCTTACATCCTTTATAATGCGAAATAACACTGACACATACTAAATGACTTATAAGCAGTTCCACAATAACACATTGTTT